TATATAGATTTTTCAAGTACATTGAAAACAGAGATGTGGCCAAGTCAGTTTTGAAAGAAAGGGGTCTTAAGAAGATAAGATTGGGAATAGAAGGTAAGCCATTTCATTAATTCCTTTTGGAAAATGAAAAGGGTTAAAAATCGGATTCCACTTAGAAGTTATTTTAAATACACTGAGAGAACAACTAATCAGGTAAATGACTACTGAATGCAAAGGTAGTAGATGAATAATAAAAATTGGCTTCTTTTATTTGAGAAAGTAGGCCACTAGAAAATACTTATTTTGTAAGATTCCTCCATAGCATAGATGTATGAATTTGTCTCTTATTCTGTAGTTTGCCCTACTTCATTTTTGGCAGAGTCTATGTAGTGTATGTGTGCAAATGTGTGTATCATCCTGTGAGGCTGACAGAGGTCTTTACTTAGTGATGTTGGAGCTCATCAAAGCCCAACAGAATTAAAGACTACTTTCTGAGAATCCACATGAAAGTCATACTGGTAGTTTGTGTTTTGAGGTATAATAATGCTGCTTATTTTCAGACTAAGTGCAAATTGCAAGTTTATTTCATCTTAAATACATTTTTTAGATTGCTTTTTACTTGACTTATTTTGGTCCATTGGCCAGGTCAGATGTTTCTTTTATTTGAAAATACCCTTACTACACATGAACAAGATACTGTTATTTTATTTTCATTGAAGTGATATTGTTAACCATCCTTGCTAGTGTTTTGACAGTATAGGAGTCCCTCTCTGATAGTTACTGTAGCACTCCCATCACTTGAGACAATAGTCCCTCGTAGTCCATGTGCTCTTCCCTCTGCCCCACTCCGTTTTCCCCCACCTCTGGAAGCCAAAGATCAGCTTTCACAGGTTGGGTTCACAGTTTGCCTTTGTCTAATTTTGGTTCGTTTTCCTATGTTCCACATATAAGTGACACTATCTGGTATTTGTCTTTGTCCTTCCCATTTACTTCTCTGAGCATAATCCCTTCCAGCTCTATCCGTTATTGAAAATGGAGTGAGTTTATCTTTTATCGCTGAGTAGTATTCCGTTGTCTGTTTTTGGGCAATTACCTGCTGTTTAAGTAGTGTTGCTGTGAACAAAGGAGTGCAGGTTTCCTTTTGGATTAGTGTTTTGTATTTTTCTGTGTAGATACTTAAGCATGTAATTGCTGAGTTATATGGCTGATATTTTTAGTCTTTTGAGAAACCTCCACACTGCTTTCCATAAGGACTGGACCAGTCTACATTCTCACTAACAGTGTAAGAGGGGTTTTTTTTGCTTCATACCTTCTCTAGCATGTGTTTATATCTGGTAATTTTGATATGGTCTTTCTCACTGTTGTGATTTGATATGCATTTCCCAAATAAGTGATGATGAACATTTTTTTATGTCCCTGTTGGCTACCTGTATGTCTCCTTTGGGTAAATGCCTACTTTGCTCTTTTGTCGCCCCAGCCCCACCCCCACTCCTTTTAAAATAAAGGTATAATTACTTGAGGTTTTCTCTGCTGATCCAAATTTGTTTGTAGTATGACTTCCCACTGTTTCCCAATAGACCTACTGCTTTAATCAGACAGATCTCAGGGTCTCCTAAATACGTTTCCTGCCTTGATAGTTTAGCTTATGCTGTTTTCTTCTAAAAGGATATTCTTTCTGCCTATCCCAACCTTGGTCATTCAGTAAGATCCAGTATAAGGGAGGCCTTCACAAAACTTTTTGCTACTTTAGAATTTTACTCCTGAGTTATTTACACCTTCACCATTGCCCTCATATTTTATGTTGTACACCTTTGCCGTTTTGGCTGATTTTTTGATTTTTTGAACAATTTCATCATCTCTAGGAGACCAGAAAACCCTTTAAGGCAGTACCTGGGTATTACAATTATTTGATACAAAAGTTGCTAAAATCATTATTGTTGAAAGAATAAGCTGGTAAATTTGGAAACCAGAGAGAGACTTCATTTCGCTTTATCGTTTTTTTAAGGGAAAAATCATTCTCTTCAGGAAGGTAGTTATCTAGGAAGTTATTTGTAACAGTAGTCTCATAGTTCAGTTGCTCTTTTCCTAAGTATTTACTTAGTGCCTATAATGTACAGGCATATGGTAGGCACTGGGGCTGCAGAGATAAGACACTGACCATGTAGGAATTCACTGTTTAGGTGAGAAACTTACCAAAAATTAAATACAAAAAATTACAAGTTAGTGCAATAAGTACTTAAAGATGGGAATTTTAAAGACTTTTCTAATTGTCCAAGAGGAATCAACAGCAAGGGGTTAAACACGGAAGCATTCCTGATCTGTAGTGTTGTCCTTTCATTGGTAATTGACTAGAAGTGTGAAACAAAAAGTATTCTACAGAAGATTGTCAGAAGGATTTTATCCTGCTTGTCCTGTGTTACCCTGAACCTCAACCCCCCACCTCATATGCATGCATTCCACCCATGGCAAAATTTCCTATATTGATGTTCACTTTCATCCTTATGCAATTATCATTATCTGAGTCCCTGGTAAGTGTGTCCTGTTTTTCTGATCCTTGCTGTGGTCTGAGCCCCTTGGTCCAAATCAGTCCCACACCTGCTTTTTAGTTTTATTGGGACATAGACAAATTCATTTACATATTATCTGTGGCTGGTTTCACTTTTAAGTGACACAATTGAGTAGTTGTGACAGAAACCATAGGGCCTGCAATCCTGAAATATCTATTGTATGGCCTTTTACAGAAAAAGGTTTGCCAATTGCTATTAGGAAAAAAGGACCTTGTAATAGCTTCTAAGGTGAATTAGATCTCTGAAGAAATCACCTTACTGGTGAATGAAAAATGTTCAGAACTAGGGTTATCTTTAGTTGTTACTTTTCAGTGATTATGATCCAAAAGAAGGGTTGTAGGTATAATTAATCAGAAAGCTGCTTTGAATTACCAGTTTGAACTTCTTTGTTGTCGGTAGTCATAACATTAAAATAACAGAATAGGTTTAAAATACTGGCTTTGCTGACCTAGATGCAAAATCAGTGAAGCTAAAGAGCTCTATAGTTGTTATTTAACATAATAAGGAAAGAAAACCCCCAGAGCAATGTAAAGATGAAATCTAGGTTAAAAGAAAGGTTATTGTGACAGTAAATTGCAGGCTTTGAGGGCAGATAATCAAGGACAGTAAGGATTCAGAGAGACAAAGATATACCAGATTACACACCCTTGTATTCAGGAACCATCCCTTCCATGCTCTTTTTCTAGTGGTTGGATTATTGAGTAGCTGACAGGATGGAGGAAAGGGTTATGATGACTTACATCAGTAAGATTTCAAGTTTTGGTGGTCAAACTGCGTAGATTGTTTCCCTCTTGTTTGTTCGGGAGCTGTAGCAGCAAAGTACTCTTTAAGATAAATTGGTCTGAAATGCTTGGATTCTGTTGTGAAAGCCTTTCTTTCCTTCAGGTTATCCTACCTACAAAGAAAAGGTAAAGAAAAGGCCTGGGGGCCGACCAGAAGTGATTTACAACTATGTCCAAAGGCCTTTTATTCGAATGTCCTGGGAAAAGGAAGAAGGGAAGAGTCGACATGTAGACTTTCAGTGTGTGAAGAGTAAATCTATCACCAACCTGGCAGCTGCTGCTGCAGACATTCCCCAGGACCAGCTGGTGGTCATGCACCCGACTCCACAAGTGGATGAGCTGGATATTCTCCCCATCCATCCCCCTTCTGGCAGCAATGACCTTGATCCTGATGCACAGAATCCAATATTGTGATGATGTTTCTTGAAACCATAGCATGCTACTATTCACGGTGACGTTGCACTCTCATTCTGCACTGCAAGGCCACTCTCTTCATTGTGAGATGCACATAACAATGTTTAGGATGTTGCAGTGTGGGCTTTTTTAAAGACCAAAGGTAGCTGAATGGTTTTTTTTTTTTTTTTTTAAATAAGTACAACTCTAGCATCCTGAAGTTCCGGTTATATAAATGTAATTTGTTTACCAGTAGGTTTGTGAAATTGGGTCTTTGTATGGGGGACAGTCCTTTTTCACATGTCTAGACCTTTTCAGAAATTGTAGAAGTTGGCAGCTGGGGTATTTTCAGTCTAGGTATTTGTCACACCCCAGGTAAAATGCAGATTATATAGTTGCACTTTATAAAGGCGGTTAAATGGAATTGTTAAAGCCATTTTTATAGTTGTGATGCACAATATGTAACTTAAGTGCTTCTCTCAAGTACTCCTTCAGTAAAAAGTATAGTTTGCTGCCCATGATGAGCAGAAATATGAGTTTCATTGGGCTTATTTGAATGCTTATGACAAGATTCAACTACCCACCTTATTTATCTCAGTGCCATTTTCACCCTTTGAGTCACACGCAGGGAATATGAACATTCAGAGATGGTTTATTATTCAGTCTGCCTTACCCTTAATCTGTTAACGTATTTATTTACTAATTTTTATTTTCCGTAAGCGTTAATGGGATCGCAAAATGAAGTGTTGTTCTTCATTTACTAAATGATTGTAAACTCAAGTTTTTCATCAAAATAAACTTTCGTTGTTTTAAACTTTCTGATCAACTTTATAACCAGCTTGACCAGACTGAATTCATAAGACCTTGTAAACGTTATCTGGTTTGTCCTTCCACCATTGTAAAACACTGATGATCTAGACACGTAGCATTTTTCTATTTCAAATGTGAATGGTATTTATAGAACAAGGGAAACATTTATTAAAAATATTTAACTGTCTAATACATTATACTTTAACCCATATTTATAGTAAAGGATTCTTACAAGGAAGAATAAACGGCTTTATGATACAATTAGTATAAGAAATATCCACGTGGGACTTCTTTGTAGTGTAAAAACACCATACATCTGAAATGACCATTTGCATATAAAAGCTACCAATGATGCTTCTGTGCACAATGATTAAAAAATTCAACACAAACAGAATCCAAAATATACAATTAATGCAAGCTATTCACAGCTAGCCCAGTAATAACATGATGAAGAAACACTGGCGCAGGCTTAGGTCCACTTTGTCTGAAGTTACACAGGTAAGATTGACTTGTATCAATGGCTCTGAGATGGCTTTTATGAAGACAGCACATAAAAGCTGGTCTCTCATCCAGTAAGCTTCATAGACTGTAAAACTCCACCAGTAATGCACTTTTGATCCTTAGCTGTTGTCAAAGCAACAAGTAGTGTTTACAATGGCCATGGCAAGTCACTGAAGTCAACAGGGCCGCCCAGCCCAGCATCTGCTTCCAAGAGGCTCATTATGACAGCCATTGCTGCCTCATCATTACTGGGACTACTTGAGCCTTGGTCATTGTCTATCATGTCTATGCCTATGTGAGGGTTCTCACCTGTGGGAGGAGATGGAAGACCAGTCAGTGATTGCATCAAAGCATGCAGAACAATCCTGAAGCACACTTAATAAGGAAGTTAAATAGTGAGAAAACATGTTTTAGGCTGCAGTGCCATATATATTTTAAGTGTAAAGGCATTTTAGTTTATAACATGTTAATAGAATGATTTACAGAAGAAAAGATAAATTGGAAGGTAGAAGTCAGGAAAAAAAAATCTGGAAAGACTAGGTACGCAAATTTCCCATCCTTAAGTGACTTAATACTCTCTTAACTGCTTATTGACCACCTTTACATCTCAACCTTCACTGGCTCTCCCCTGAAGAGTTTTTGCTCTGTATGGCAGGAACAAGCCCATGTCTAGACCATTCTCTTGCAGTCCATGGACAAATTTGGGCCCACACCTGAACTCTTTAAACAAGATTTAAACAAAATACCTTTTCTCTTACCAACTTATCTAAAAGTAGCTTGTGCACAGTTCAGTTAAAACTATGCCAGGTATTAGCTAAATAAGTAGGTATAAAAAGATAAACTTGTGCCCACTTGAAGAATCATGGATGGAGATGGAAGTAAAGTAAGCCAAAGAGAGAAGCTGAATGGTGTCGCTTAAGTGGACTATGGAGAAAATGAGGGTCAGGAAATCAGGAAAAGGCAGCTTACAAGGAATGCTTGAAAGCCGACTTCAGAACCAAAGCTATCAGGACCTCTCTGGTGGCCAAGTGGTTAGGTCTCAGCGCTAGCAATGCTCTGGCCTGAGTTCGAGCCCCAACCAGGGAGGTTAGAACTCCAGGGAGCTAACCTACATGGAGCAGCAGCAAGGTCTCGTCTGGTCTTGCGCTGCTGCTCACCTCACCTCACCTCAGTAGGTTTGCTCTTGCATGACTCTACTTCCAGCACCCCCCCGGGGGGAGGGGGGGTGCACCACGCGCCCACTTCCCTCCCCCTGATCAGTTCACACTAAGACTCGTGTATTAACAGACTCGTTGTGTATTAGCTACCAAGAGCGCATACTAGCTGCTCCGGACATACGGACATCCCACACATTCCCACGGCAATTCAAATTCAAAAAATCATTTATAGCCATCCAAAGAGTTGCTATTAGGTATGTATGGTCCATCCTAGGGCAAATTTTGCAAATTTTACTACATTTTACTACATTTTTACTACATTTCTCGCTCTGGCTCTGTTCTCTCTTCTTGTTCCTCGGGGGCAGAGAGCAGTTCTATGGCATCAATATTCTCTTAAATTTTAATTTCTCAGATATGATAACATTGAGTCCCTGTTTTCACCTCCGGTGGTAAAAACTAGCAGGTGGCAACTGTAACACCTTTGTAAGAAGGAGACTAATGTAGTTTCATTTCAGGTGAAACCTTATTCATGTTTGTAATTATTTCTCTTTTCCTCAATGTGTGCTATAAATTTTGTGTACTACAGGAATGAGCTATTGTCAAATAGGGAAAAAAAACCCCAAAAAACTATGCCAGGTATTTTATTGTCAAGCTTACTACAGTGTCACTTACCAAGAATAGAAGAACTATCTGAATATGGATAACCCGGGTTATCTTGAGCCTGCCCTGGTAGTAGGCCACCGGAAGGAATGTCTGGTGTCCCTCCATTTAAAATCTACAAACAGAAGTTTTCACATCAGGTTCATTCATCAAATGCAGTGACTTCAGCTTATTTAATGAATTCAAGTGGTTTGGAATGATCATAGTAAGAAAAACCCGGACCCCAAGACTTCCACAGATTCAGCCTATACAGGTAATTTAAAAGCAGTTAGCTTAGATCATGCTGCTCACCTATTTAAGGCAAAGGACTAAATCTCAATTAGCCCATTTGGGCTTTCCCCCCCCAAATTAGAGTAACAGATCTTATTGCAATAGATGCTGCTGGAAAATGAGGTGGGGGTGTGGGCTGTGAAACTAAACAGTCCTAAAGAGTCACAAATGAGTAACAAATCTCTTCACTTGGCGCTGACTTACACTAACCAGTGGTTTAAGTTAATAAGATAGGCCACGGAGAGCACTATTAATTTCTTTTTCCATTCCTAGTTTCCTTCTCCTGGTTGAGTCTCATTATAGAAAAGCATTTTGGGGGAAGTATTTGGGTGTAGGTGATAAAACGGTTTTTGGTAATAATGGTTTCAGGGCAGGTGTGATTCCAGACCTTGCCAGTAGATGGCATTAAAGCTTTTAGCTCAGCTTTTTATCAGTTTGGTCAGGGACCCATTTTGAGTTATGCCGCTCTTCCATATGTTGACACATTTCATTATACAATTTCAAAATGTAACCAGTTTCTCTTTCAATTTTGCTTGAAATTCAAGCTAAAATTTTATCATCACTAACAAATACTGTTAGTTGTTTTCCTTGAAGTGGCAGGTTTGCTCCATTCTCCAGAAAATAGATATCTGAATAATCAGTTTGTGATAGTGAAAATGGTGTCCTATGAAAAAAGCATCAGGAGAGGGAGCTAGGCGGGGCCTGCTCCCATGCAGCTCTGCTCTGCTCCACTGTTGGTTCTTCATCCACATTGGAGCCCCCATCTCCTTCAAGTGGTCTCCCCTTGGCTTCTCAATTCAATTTCAGGCACAAGACTTTTGGCTTATTCCCCTTGCAACCACCATCATACAAAAGCACGTGCTTTTGTATACTTCCCATTTTGTAACATTATTAAAGAATTTTACTTCAGACTCTTGTAAAAGCGATCATTTTTACTGTTTCATTTAAAGACATTCTTGACTGAACTGGCTTTTAAGTTACCTGTATGAGAAGTACAATGATGACACCGCAGCATGGTGTTCCTGCCCTGAGATTTGCAAAGCATCCATTTTATGCACCCTTGCTCTTACGCTGTCAGTACACATAACACTGAAACCAAATTCATGTTTCAATATTAAAATTTTTTTTAAGACTGCTATCCATATACTGTTTTGCTGCTGAAGACGCATAAGAATATACATTTCCAGAATTGCTCCAGACCTGTTTTCATAAGCCCAAAGGAAAGGAAAAGCTTTCATAAATGCCTCCATTATTTAGTGCTTTGTGATGCACAATAGCTTTAGATGTCTGAGTTGGTATGAAAAATCAGGACACCTTGATTTAGTTTGTCATCATACTTAATTTTGAGACAGTACTTGGCTAATCTTTTAATATTTGGGAACCTAGACTTCAAACCTTGATTTCATTATATATAGAGTTTTAAGTATAAGATGCAAGAATGTTAGAGTAGTAATTTAAGTACTCTATAGGACTGGTAAACTTTCAAAACAGTAGTAGGAGCTCCTGTAATACTAGAAGTCACATGCCTGAAGTTGAATTGAGAAGCCAAGGGGAGACCACTTGAAGGAGATGGGGGCTCCAATGTGGATGAAGAACCAACCACGGAACAGCAGAGCTGCATGGGAGCAGGCCCAGCTGAGCTACTTCTACTGACGCTGCTTCCGGAGTCCTTACCAAAGGCCTCTCTGGCACTTGCACATGTACGTGTTACCACGTAACAGGACTACCATGTGCAGGGTGCTGGCTGTCCTACCTAATGTTGCAGCCCCTTTATAAAGAAAACCAGGGCTTAAAAACTTGTAAGGGGTCACAGCTAACACCCAGAAAGCCAGTTCAAAAACCCAAGTTTGTTTTACTTGAACTTTTACCCATTAATTTGTTGAATTTTGAACCTCTCCGGGAGGAGTGAGAATCTTTTTTCAGAAATAAACACTTTTATAGAAGATTTGTACATAAAACCAATCTGTTGCCTTAGTAGAACAAGTGCCCTCACCTGCCCCTCCTCCTGGCCGCACCACTGCTCATGGTAACCTGAGAGCCCAGGTGTGGAAACCCATGGCCTTCCTTCACTACATCTTATGTCCCAGGAGTCCCGAATGGGTAAAACACTAATATTCTTTCTCTCTGCATATAGTCTGGGAGACAGGAGATGGATGACTATGTCCAAAGATGATGGCTGCTAGTCTGTCCTAACCCTTATTAACATTGGGAACTACTGGTAGATTTTTGATTTACGATGATTATTGGCCTAGACTTGTATATTCTCCAACAAAGATGGAAACAGATGAATGCCTTCTAAACCCAGAGTAGAGCCTTCCAGCCAGCTCTTCGTGAAGACCATGACTGACAAGCTACTGTGCCCAGCACAGCTACATCACAGGAGACCCAAGCAGCAGATCCCTAACTTATCTGCAGTTGCAAAAG